TAAAAGTTGGGCTAATGAAGAAAGAAACAATACCAACAGTAAACGTGATAGAAAATAACAGGAGAAATGGAACAGAGCTTTGATTCTTACATGAATGGCAGACACTTCAAAACCACAAGGGGAACTGCTTTTAGCTTCTTTGGCCTATGGCCTGATAAAACTTTGAGCCTTCCCATTCAGCATCTCTCTGTTACACTTGCAACTTTGCCCAACGTGTCTTTGTCAGACTGTACTCCTTCCATTAAATTTCTAATACTTACATTTTCTGCAATTTCCTAAGCAGCAAAAGTCCAATACATTCAATTTCACATCTTCTTGACTTGGTACCATATCAACCTTCTTGAAAAGGTTGATTCTAAATGACCAAGTATCTAAACATGGAAAGGCTGTTCAAGTCCCTGGACATGTAAACTTACATCTCTCAATCTAGAAAGTGCTAAAATCCAACAGTCCCCCTATGCTGACAGAATTTTGAAATATATTCCTATCAAATAGAAACAGAATATTTCTCATTTCATAGAATCTAAAGGCTTGTGAATGAAGAAAATATAATAAGTTTTTAACATTAATTTCTTGACATTTTCCAGCATCTCAAAATCAATCCAATATATCAATCCAATAACACTGGATTGGGACCAAATGTTTTCCCAAGGTCTGGAAGTTGTCAAAGATCATAAACAAAAGGAGGTGGTTGGGAAAAGAATGTTAAAGTGGGTGGGAAACATTTCTTAAACAGATCTGCAATCGTGTGCTCACCTCTCCTAAGGTTACAGGATGGGGCGAGAGTGTCCAGAATGGCAGCAGTTTAGGATGTATGTCTGCCACCACTCAAGAACAACACCAGCAGGCGAGCAAAGGCCAGATGAATTATCTGAGTAGGCCACATCCACCCATAGCTTACAGACGTTAATTGAAATTATCTACTTTATAAACACATCATCATTCTCCTTACCTAATTTTTCCCCCTTATGAACACTAAGGTTCCCTCATTCACTGCGACCTACCTTTCTTTCATCACTCTTGTTGCTCCACTCTTAACATGCTGTTTCTACATGTACGCACCTTTATCCCAACCTGATTTTATCCTGTAAAGTCAGTTGCTATTTGCATTCTCTCCTCACGCCCATGTTCTTCCTCAAAAATAAAGAGACTAAAGTGCAATATAAAAATTGATTGTGGGCAGGTTTGGAGAACTAAAACGCTACAGTATTTTGACAATTTTCCTCGCTGAATCAACTCGCCATGAGTGCTTTACAGTAAGCACAAAGGAAAAAGCAGACTGCACTGTAGGTGACAGGAGAACTCCTACTCCAAAAAGCAACCATCAGATCAGCAAACTACAGTGCAAACCAATAGCCTTGCTCTCTCCCAAAATCAATACATTAACACAAACTTCAGTGTTCGATCAACTCTATACACTCCACTTTTACTTGAGTCACACCCTGGATTTTAATGAAGCTTTCATATTTTAGCTAGATGTGTTAATTTATGTTTCCATTAATAAAAAGTTCCTAACTGCTCAAGAATCCATCAAGCGTACAGTGCTTGAGCCAAGGGAAACATCTGTCTGTGCTCAAGGTAGAATTCTAATTTCCCCTCAACTTGTCTACCTCTGAAATGTCATTGCACTGGCCTTACCCTTATTTTTTTTGCCAGTTTATTGCCAGCTGATGGTATCAGTGATGAGAAAGTAGAGTCTTACTGTGTATACAAACCACACTTCCCCATAGCACAGTTATGTGAAGTATGATACAACAGCTGTCCTGTGACAGAGGGTGGTTTGAACTGAACAATGGTGCCAGGCTGGAAGAGGTAAAGATGCACGCAAGCTTGCTGCAGTGCTGTTCAGCACCAGAGCTGGCTGGTGGACAGTAGGACACAACGTGCCTGGAAGCAGTAGGCAAAGCTGGCTGACAAGATCACGCTGGTGCTGCACGGCACATGCAAAGATGTCTCGTGCCCAGGCACAAGAGTTTCCGCATTCTAGTTTCAGCCAGCTCTCTTAGTCCTATGGTAACTGAGTTTCCAAGTCTAGTGCTTAGAAAGCTGTTAAAATTCTCAGGAAAGACAAAAGTTTGACTTAATGCCATGGGATATGATTAATGATTCAGATACGTTTCTCACATGTGACAGCTGTGAGAGCTGTGCAAACAGAACGGATGGCGCTGTTTTGATAGCACTCACTGAAGACTAGCGATGCACCAAAGGCTGCTCCTGCCTTAGTCGGTAGCAGTACCAGTGTGTGGCAGGATGCAACCGTATCAGTAGCCTTATCTGCCTCACATGTACACACACTCAGCTTATAGAGGTTACTATGAGTCCGTGTGACGTGAGTGGCTATGTGACATAGCGTAGCGGCAGTTGGGGTTGCACACTGGATGCAAAGCAGCAGGTAAGGGATGAAGCAGTCCCCGTTCTGGTATTTGCCTCGGTTGGGCAGCCACGGTGGCACTTACGGCAACACCTGAAAGGAGGAAGGAAGAAGCTGGACAGCTGGGTTAAGCACAGCTGTACTTTCATGAACACACCTCACTGCACACTCAGAAGTGCTTAGCACGGAAATGATGCTCTTGTTCACCCAGCTGCCAGACTAGCCAACCCATGAACTAAATTTTAGGCAGAAAACCTGTCTACCCCAGTGCACACTGGAACCACTGCCCAAATTTCAAATTCTTGGTCTGATAACAAAATTCTGAAGTGCTGAAGGCTTTGCCAATAGCCAAAAATAGCTCCCAGTCAGTGCTGACTGACTCCACACATCAGCTCCCAACCTATGAGCTGACAAAAATTACACATGTTTTTCACAGTATCTGGACCAGCTCAAGCATGGGAAGTAAACAAAGCATGGGAAATGGAGTGGCAATGCTATTTGAAAGAGGTATTCAGCGTGAAAGAAAACAGTAATCCCAGTAATGATAATCAGGCCACAAGTCTATAGGGCAGCATGGTGACAACAAAATGCCAGCTTGTTTTCCCTCAAACGAGTGCTGTATTGTAATGGAGATCAAAAGCAAATGCTGCCCTCTGTACTGCACTGGGCTGTCTATACATTTGGGCCATTTCTGGAAGAAATGACACCTGAAGAAAGGCTCAGAAGCAAGTTGTACAGAGCACCCCAGCCCCTCCAATAAAACCCTCACCTTACCAGCAGAGACCTAACTGGAAACAGATGCTAGAGATAACAGAGTATTTGATCCAATTAACTTGCTGGTAACCCAAAGCAAGCCTCCCTTTGCTTCCACCCTAGATTCCCTATGTTTCTTATGTGCGCAGGGGAAGAGATTTCCTAAGTAAAGGAGAAAGCTTCCTACACCTCAGTGGCAATGTTTTCCATTCCAAAGATTAACAGATTCACTTAATGCTCCTGATTTTACCACGCAGACCACAGCTTTCTCTCATCACAAAACAAATAACAGAGAACAGATGCGTACGCCCTAGACAGGCTTGACAGAAAAAGCCAAAGGAATGGGAAATAACATGGAACTGTTTCACTGACGCCTAAAGGGAAGTGGAAAGCTGTTCACCTGCACAATCTGCTAATGAAGTGGTTAAAAAAATAAAAATAGGGCACTGCTAATCTCTTTTCATAAGCGTTTTTCCCACATCAGATTCAGGTTTGTAAGACCCTTACAACTGAAAAAACACTCATTCCTCACTACTCGGCAGTATTTGGGAACATCGCTGTTTGCTTTCTCCATCAACATCACTGCTGCAATAGAGAACACACGGCTTTTCCCCCCAGTTTCTACCATTTTAGCTTCTCTTTCCTACTAATTAACTTAAGTGCATTTGCCTCCGTTGTTCCTGGCGTGCAGCAACATGACACTGGCATGGCTCTCAACATCTCTCTGCTTCCCACAGACCTGCACTAAAACCACTGAGTTCTGTCAACTTTGCTGCTCCCCACGAGCAGAGCTCTGTGCAACAGCACAGCAGCGGTGCCCTGTTTGCATGCGCAGGAAGATGACTGTGCATCCCATCACACTGCAGGTTATCTTCACAGCCATCACCGGGGCCACAAACTGAGCTCTCCTGGCACGTTCCTAATGTCCTTCAAGGCTTAGCAATGAGTTACACAACCCAACGCTGTGCAATTTCCATTCATCCAAGGATGAGCCTTCTGATTACAGAAACCAGATAAAGTTGTGCAAAGACGTCATTTGTATCAAGTTTCCTCCGCTACTGATTTTTTGCTTAGATTTAGATCAGAAGAGCCTTAAAAACCGCTCCCCAGGACGTGACCCCGGGGTTATATGCTCGCTGCAGCTGCATGTAGCTGTGCTCCCCGCTGTTAACTTTATTAATTAAGAGTTTGCATTCCTCCCTTCCGCGTTTGCAGAAACAGCACTTAAATTTCGGGCGACTGCTCGGCGCTCTGCAGATATTTGGCTTTCAGATCACAAAGCACGGATTGCTTCGTGCAACGCTTAAAAACAAAGCGATTCCTTGTTCCCTCCGCCTGTTCTGTGCCACGATTTCTGAATGGATTACATGAGAGACGGGGGGGGGGGGGGGGGGGAGCAGCACACACACATAGAAAAGAGGAAGTTGTGCTTTTGGACCGCCACAGCGGAGCGCACGCTTTGCAGAAGGGGTGCAGTTGCAGCGACAATTTCAGGTTTCGACGATCTTAACGCGGATTTCAAAACAAAGCACCTCCCTCCTTCGCGTGGCAGCAGCCCTGCGAGACGGGACGTCGGATGGAGAAGACGGCGCTCGTTACCCCGAGCCTCCCGCCGGCCGCGCCGCACGCAAAGTTGCGGATAAGCGCGGTCGGGACGCGGGCACGTCCTCGCACGGCGCTGTCACCGCCACCGCGCCCCGACTGCGCCGGGGAAGGACGGAGCGCCGGGGAAGGACGGAGCTCCGCGCACGACGCCCCGCTCCCTCCCTCCCTCCTTCCCTCCCTGCCTCCCGCCGCCGTCGCCGCGGCCGGACGGGGCGGCGCTGCCGGGACCGGCGCCCGCTCGGCGGCGCCCGCTCGCCCCGTGGGCGCTCACCAGGGGTCGAACTCGTGGATGATGCTCTCGAAGCGGATGACGGCGAAGAGGCGCGAGCTGAAGCCGGCCAGCCAGGCCAGGAAGAGGATGGTGAAGGAGAGCAGCGACTGCCAGCCCGCCGGCTGCGACAGGCCCCCCGACAGGCCGCCCCCCGGCCCGCCGCGGCTGTTGAGCGGCGCCACGGAGTTGGCGGCGGCGCCGGGCTTGTGCTTGCTGTCGGGGGCCGAGTGCTCCGCCATGTTGCGCCCGGGGCTCCCTCGCAGCCGCTCCGCCCGGCGCGCGCGGGGAGGAGGGAGGGGCGGGGGAAGGGAAGGGCGGGGGGAGGGAGGGAAGGGGCAGAGCCAGCCCGCTGCCGCCGCGCTCCTCGCGGGCCGCCCGCCGCCGCCGCCGCCCGCCGCCGCCTCGCCTCGCCGAGCTCTGCTTCCCACCGCCGCCCTCGGCAGCCCAGGGGCGGGCGGTGACGACGGAGCGGGGAGGGGCGGAGGGCGCGCGGCCGCCGCCGGAGCGGTGCTAAGGGCCCGCGCGTGCGCGTGAGCGCAGGGGGCGGGCGCGCGCGGGCTGGCGTCTGGCGGCTCGCGGGCGGTTTGACATTGCCGCCCTCCGGCGCGGGAGGAGCTACGGGGGCGGGGGCGGGGCTGCGGGAGAAGGCGGGGACCGGGGGGAGGGACTGGCCAATCGCCACGGTCGCCCTGCTAACCGGAATTTGGTGACGGCCTGTCACGGAGCGACAGGTATTTAAAAGGGGCGGGGCGAGGCCCGGCGGCCAATCGGAGTGACGAAGGAGAAGGCGTGGCAGCGCGCGCGGAGGGGAGACGACTCTCGTCGCCGGGCATTGGCGGGTCAGGAAAGGGAGGGCGCTGAGTGGCAGCGCTGTGAACCAATGGGGGCGGCGCGGCGCCGCGCGGGTCACGGCGGGAGAGGAGCGTCGCCGGCGGCGGCGCTGCAGCGCGCGTGGGCCGGTGCTGCTCCTGGCGTTCCGCGCGGCCTCGCCGCGGGGGCTGCTGGGAGCCGCAGTTCGCCGCGTGCGTGTGGCGCGAGGGGAGCTGCGGCTGCCGCCGCGTGCGCGGCCGTGACGGCACCTGCGGGGTGCTGGGGGCACTGCGTGGCGCGGCTTTCCCCAGCCAGCCCTCTGAGGGCTGCTCGGCCGTCCCCGAGTGCTTCTGCTTGGCTTTCGAGGTACGAGCTTCCACTTTGATGCTCCTCCTCGGGGCTCGCGTTCCTCTGAGCCGTTTGTTTCAGCTGTTCAGTTACCCCGTGCCAGGCCCCGAGGGCGGGCAGGTAGGAGAGGGAGCTGCAGGCGAGGCCCCGGGCCGCGGATTGAAACCGCCGTGCTGGTTCCCCTCCCTCAGCCCTTATTCTGCCCGGCTGTGACTTACTCACCGGGTTTGAAGGCAGGGCTGCTGCGAGGCACGTTGTGTGCCTGTTGCAGGATGTAGGTTGCTCCAAAAGTAAAGCCTCCTGTTCTGTTTATCTCCGTGGGAGCTACAGCAGATACAAAGGGCTCAGTAACGCTATGTGGTAGAGCAAATTCTCAGCTCCAAAACGTTGTTTTTCAACACAGTCACCGCCGTTAGCTGTGTACTTTCACCAGCAATGAACAAGGAGCCTGAACATTGCACCTGCGAAAATCTGCACCCATCGTCCACTGCTAAAACACAGCACCTGCTGCCTCACTGTGCCCACGTCCACTGCTCGCACCTCGAAATGTCACTCCTTGTCACTCCTGACTTCCATGTCAGGCGCCATTCTGTCAGACTGCCCCTCTGCTGCCATCTGTCACATGGCAACAACATGCGATGGGATATCAGTGGGAAGGTTCAACCTCTACTGCCATCCCGCCAACATCTGCCTCTGATGTTGCGAGCCAGCATCAGAAAAATAGGAGGCATTACTTTTGGAGCAGCCCTCATATGAGGTTTAAGAAAACTTCCGTGAAATTATGAGGTTCGATTTTGCTGAATCTGGCTCTTAAAAAGCTGTATGTGTTGTATTTTTCTCTTAATACATTGTACTTTTCTACTCTAGTTAAAATAGGTCAATAATACATTCAAGAGAAATTAAGTTAGACATTTGCCCCTTTCCTAGCGTCGTCTGTGAGGGTTTTTAATGAGCTGCCCAATTGGCATTTCAAGTGAAAGATTTTTTTTCCCTTAATTGGGTCATGAACGAGGAGCGAAAGTGGCTAGAAATTTGCAGCTATCCGTTGTTTTTCTCAAATGCATTGACTGATTGTACGACAGGCTCAGCCCTGGTCTGCTGTTCTGAAATGACTTGTGGTATTTCCATTCTCACAGTTGGATCCTGTCTTTGGTAACAGCAATTCAAGGTTAATGATGCAGTAGGGGAGCAGCTCTACATGGTGCTGTATGTAGAATACCTCTGTCTTTTCTTCCCCTGCACCCAAAAGTCTGGGTACTAAGAAGGCAAAATTAACTGATGATGCACTGAAAAAAAATTGCATACCAGAACTTTTAATGCAAGATTTATCATCGGTGTTAACTTTCCTTGATTAAGAATCTGCTTTTTTTAAAGATCATTGTGGAATGTGGTGTGGATGAAGTTACATGGCATTCGCTTTAAATTTCATTGCTATAACTTTTAACTTCCAGGAGGGAGCTTATATCATTCTGACTGTACTGACAATTTTTTTGAGCGTAGACAAGCTCAGACAGAACTTGATTTATTTGAATGCTGACTAATGGTAAAGTGTTTCTTTGTCCTTGGTAACAAACAATATTGTTGCCTATTCATTTTCAAACTGTTCAAAAGTCTGTACATGAGAGCCTGGATAACAAAATTTAGTGGTAGCAAAAGCACAGTTCTAGTACAAGCTTTTATTAATGTTTCTGTAAATACATTGTCAATTTTTTTGTGTGAAATAAGGTTTAGTAGTCTTATAGCACATCTGATTAAACACTTGCACTCAAATGAAAATTTGTAGTCATACAGCTGGATGGTTTTGACACTATGCTGCCATGACTAAGATGGAAAATACTTTTTTGGAGGAGATGTGAAGCATGTCTACTGCATTCCACCCCTGTTTGAAATTTGTCCTTCCCCATTGCCCTGTAACATGATAGAGCTATTGGAGCAGGTCCAGAGGAGGTCTGAAAAGATGACCAGAGGGCTGGAGGACCCCTCCTTTGAAGAAAGACTGAGGGAGCTGGGGCTGTTCAGCCTGGAGAAGAAAAGGCTGTGGGGAGACCTCATTGCAGCCTTTCAGTATTTGAAGGGAGCTTATAAGCAGGAGGGGGATCAACTTTTTACACAGTGTAATAGTGACAGGACAAGACGAAATGTCTTTAAATTAAAAGAGGGGAAGTTTAGATTAGAGATCAGGAAGAAATTCTTGACTCAGAGGAAACAGGCTGCCCAGAGAAGCTGTGCTGTCCCATCCCTGGAGCACTCAAGTCCAGGTTGAGTGGGGTCCTGGGCAGCCTGAGCTGGTGGGTGGCAGCCCTGCCCAAGGCAGGGGATTGGAACTGGATGGGCTTTAAGTTCCATTCCAACCTAAGCCATTCTATTATTCTCTATCTTTTTTTCCCCCTCCCTTATCCTTGTGTTTTTCTTTTTTCTTTGTTTTAAGGTAATTTGGTTTAACTTGTTCCACTGTGTCAGGTGGTGTTTTCTTTGAAAGCAAAATAACCATGAACGTGTCCAAATTAATGGTTGAGGTGTTGATTTTGCATCTTGATTATGAACCATTTTGCACACAGAAAATCAGTTTCCTATTCTGAGCATGTAAAATAATATCCAAATGCCTAAAGAGTGGTGAGGGGGGGAGGAATCTCATTTATTTTTCAAGCTTCCTCAGTAATGGAACTGTTAGGAGGGTAATGCCAAGTGTGGAGGTTGTGTTACGATTGATCAAACTGAAGCATCTTGAAAGTTGTAGATCTGTGTACAGGAAAATATCATATGAGAGCTCCTCATCCCTCAACACGGCTACCATGTGTCACTGACATGCATCCTGCTGTTGTAGGGATGTCAGACAGAATTGAGACAGAAGAAACCAGACACATCCATGTAATTAATTATTAATCAACAATACAAACTCATGGTTGGAGGGAACAATTCATGCCTTTTGCCAAACTTTATTGGCAGCAGTTCCTCAGTGTTCATTAACAGAAGTAGGTGGCTTAGTTTAGAAAGCCATAGATAGCATGTTTAGGGTAATAAGCAAATCTTAAACAGTCCTTCCAACTTTTTGGTCCCGTGGATGAGCAAGTTAGTAAGCTTAGTGTTAAGATTTTGAAGATGGCTTTATGAGCTAATGAAATAGTACTTCCTGAACTGTAGAGCAGAGCATCACTCAGTGTGCTGGAAGATGCCTGATTCCACTGAGCACATCACTAAAATCCCTGGACAGTCATTGTTTAAAAATGTATGGTAGGGTTTAAATGAAAGAAAACACAATACCATTGCATAATAATTACCCTTGAGAACCCAAACTTTAATGCATTTAAAAATAGCTATATATTAGTCTCTACATTAGATAAAATGTCATGAAATTAAAATAATTTTAAAAATCAATTTATTTAAGCAGGTGTGACCTTTTATGGATACATGCAAATCACTTTAGCTAGTTATAAACTGGCACAAGATTGTCTGCAAAGAGCTTTGCACCTGTGTAACTAATGAGTTTTTTAATTGATTTGAATTAAACTGGCATAACTGTTGTGTTTAGACAAGGCCTTAACCTAGCAGTTAATTCAGTAATAACAGTAGAAACTGGCTTGACTTATTTCTGACAGTGTTCTGCTGTGATTTCCCCCTTTCCAAGAATTCAAACACAAGTTGCTGTTCTTTCTCTGCTCTCCTGCCTTAATTTCCCTCTGTAGTTTCCCTTTCTTGTGACCTGCACAGTGATAAAGGTTGCTGCAGTTTGCACAGACTTCTCAGGAACCACAAAGAGGAATGACAAAACTCAATGCATACTTTCTCTCCCTAGGCAGCCCCTGGCATACTCTGGTGCCAATACCTGTTGTATCAACCTTGTATTTACTTTTTCAGGGAGAAATGGGACTTTTCCTTCTGGCAGGCTGCTACCAGCTCTGCAAAATCCCCAGCCCTTCTTAGAATAACTGAAGCAACATCTTGGGCCTTTTTTTTATTATTATTTTTTATTTTAGAAGAAGACAAACAACAAAATTCCCCCCCTCCCCAAACTCATAAGAACCACATGTAGTATTTTTTATGTTTATATTCTTACCTACATGCAAGTGCTGCACAATGTAGAAAACCTGTGGACTTCTGAAGTACCTTTCTCAAGTGTTGTTTTGTTATTTCTAGCATTTGCATTTCACCAGACCTTGGTTGTTCTTGGCAAATGCTGCAACAAAATGTTTTTGCAAAATGTTCATTTTATCCTTTCTGCTAAGAAGTAATATGTTGCTTTTGGTTGAGAAGTGTTGGGAAAAAAAAAAAGACATTTTCTCCAGGGATATCCTGAGTGGCCTTGTCAGACAGTAGAATGGTGATGCTTAGCATGTAAATTCTAAGTCCCCAGAAATTGTAGATACTGGATCTCATTAATATATCATGTTGGAACAGCAGAACTGCTAAGGGACCCAGCTGGAGAGAAAAGCTAGCCCCTGGGGAATGCAGCGAGAGTTGTGTCCATTTTAAATGTATGGGACCTGGGACTGCTTAGTTGTCGTTAATGTGAATTTCCTCACTATGTTGAAGTGAGGACAAGGGCAGAATACAGGAAAGAGGCATTTGCTTTTAGCTGTTACACCAGCTGCATATTACAGCATCAGGATAAGATGTGTGGAAACACAGCAAAGAAAAGAGGAAAGAAAGAAAGAAGATTTTATTTGTATCATCGCTTGAAGCCTATTTTTTTGCCTGTAGGATTTTGATCACCCTTTAGTAGTATTTTTCTTCCTTGCCTCCCTTCCCAGAACATACCACACTATTGCTGATTGGGATTGAATGTAGGGGAAGAGGAAGGAGGTATTTGCATTTTGTCTGTAAACTACAGTATTTCTTCAAAGTATAACTCTTCTGATTTTATTTTGGCCAATAAATTTGAGAAAGGTCTGTAAGTTGGAAAATTTGACAGTGTTAAATGTATTGTTTTCAGTGCATTAGTTACTTCAGCAGGGGGGGGGGAAAAAAAAAGGAGGAAAGATTATGTAGCACAGTATCAGCAAAGAATTCCCCATGCCTGAAAATTTCTCTGTAAATATTGTGCAGTATATTTCTGTAATTGGGTTTGTAGTCTAAATGTGCCTAGCCTTGAGGAAAGAAGTTATTTTACAATGGATTGTTTCTAGTGCTTTTCTGTTGTTAGCATCTGAGACTAGTCATTATCTTCCTTTCTATTTTCTACACTGCTTGTAGAAATTCTTCTAGTCAACTGCTGCATTAATAACTGCATCAGAATTGCAAAAGAATTTAAATGATTTTGTTGTGGAATCAACTGTGCCAAAACTCACAATGCATTACAGAACAGGAGCTTATGTGTGCTTTGTGATAGGGTAATTTCAACCCATCCTCACATGCAGGTCTGAAGGACTCCACCAAGAAGAAAATGCAGCGGTGACCAATTTATGGATTTATATGACTTGATTTTTTTGGCTGCTGCAATGGCATCAAGAGATTTGACCTCTTCAGAAGTGCAAAAAGTGCTGTGTTGCAGAAAGGTTACTAAGAGGACAGACGCGGACTGAAGATTATGTTCTGTGATATTTAATCTGTTGGTCTTCAGTTATTACTGCAGGAGTTTTTTCATCAATGACTGTAGCACTTGCATCCCAGATTTATTGTTATCCAGTTAAATTCATGACGTGGTTTTTTAAAATTTTTTTAATTTTTTTTTTTTTTAATTATACATCTGCCTGGAACAATACATCTTAATGTTTAAAATCCTATCTCGAAGGAACTGATCTCACAATAATTGATCCCTACTGCTCAACTCCTTTTGCATTCCTTCTTTAACTACTTGTACTATTTTTCTAGATCTTAGGATACTGAAATCCCTATTGGTAGTTTGTGTTAGTTTTTAATATGTTCTCCCAGACTTCAAAACCCAGCTGGTTTTTCAGATTATTTTCATAGAAGACAATTTACAAATTTCAAAGGAAAGCAACCATGAATCTGAAGGGGAAAAAAAAAAAAAAAAAAAGATGCTTTCTGTTTTGGCTGTATAAGTAGTGATGTTGCAAAAATGGAACCAGAGGACAAATTCTGCTGCCAAAGCACCCAAGTCTCTGTTCAAGTTGAGGACAACACTTTGTGCTCAGATTGTTCCTCTATATATGTTCCTGTAACAAGCAATTCAAAGCATGGGTTATGTTACTTAAAGATATATCCATTACGATCTCCATCACTGGTCCCTTTGGATCAGGTTTAATGTTACAGTGAACTCCATTCCTTGCCAGTGCTCCAGCATGAGTTTGTCCAAGGCTTACTGTCCCTTTGGGGAGTACTGCACTGGTGCAGCCTACTGTTGACCACATCTCTTCAGAGGTATATCTGTACCTGCCTTACTCATGGACCACTTTAGGGTGCACTTGTTCCAGTGTGAACTTATCTGTGGGCCACAATCCCTTCAGGGATGTGCCAGCTTCAGCATCCACAGCCACAGATGCTTTGAGATGTACCTGCTATGGTGTAGACTTATCCCCAGTCACAGATACTTCGAAGCGTATGTGTTCCCTCATGGATTTATCCACAGCTCTCAGACCCTTTCACTCAGCTTCTCAATGCAGTTGCAGCCTGTCCAGTGCAGCAGCACAGGACCAGCAGCCATGCCTTGGCCATTACCAGATGCCACATACATGGCCAGGGAAATGTTCCCAGTCGCATTAGAATAAGACAAGAAGTAGAGCCCCCTGCAAGCACTAGACTAATATATATATTAAAGTGAGTGAACTCCATGGCAGGCACAGGAGCCTCTCAATTAGCAGCAGAACAACTATAAATCCAATCTAGCATGCTCCGATGAAGTCTGTTCTGGTCTTAAGCCACTCAAGCCCCACATTAGGTACCAAAAAAAAAAAGGCTGCGATGGTTTAATCCTGGTATGCAGAGAAGCCCCAGGCAGGCACTCACTCAGTCCTTCCATTGTGAGGGGAGGGAGAATTGGGAGGGTAAACCTGCAAACATGTGTGGTTTTAAGTGAAGGCAGTCTCAAGGGTAAAGGAAAAGCTGCATGTGCAAGCAAAGCAAAATAAAGAATTCATTCACTACTCCCTATCAGCAGGCAGATGTTTGGCTGTTTCCAGGAAAGCAGAGCTTCTTCATGCATAACGGTTACTTGGGAAGACAAATGCCATAACTCCAAACATCCCCCTCCTGTCTCTCTCCTCCTTTCATCCAGCTGGTATTGCTGAGCAAAGCATCACATGGTGTGAAATATCACTCTGGTCAGCTGGGGTCAGCTCTCCTGGCTGCGTCCCTTCCCAGGGCTTTGTGCACCCACAGCCTGCTCACAAGCAGGGTGGTGTGACAAACAGAAAAGACCTTGATGAGTGCTGGTCAGCAGTAACTAAATCATAACTGACTTCTCAGCACTGTTTTTCATCACAAACCCAAAATAATGCACCATAGTAGCTACCATGAAGAAAATTAACCCTATCCCAGCCAAAACCAGCACAGAAATATATGAAATCAAATCTTTTCTCCCATCCACTTTGAATGTGTCCTGATATTTCTTAGAACAGTGGAGTTTTAATGACGACTATTAGGAGCTGTTGCTGTAGCAGCAAAGAGGGTAGTTCAGACTTTGTTTTGGTTATCTTTATTACAATTTAAAGGAAAAAAATCAATCTCAATGTGATTGCATTGGGAAAAAACAAAGCTGTAAGTGTCGCAGGATCTTCCCCAGGCAGTCATTAAGGAAAAGAGGTGAAATCTGGGAACTATGTTACTGCATCTGACTACATTTCCATACTTTGTAGAAGCTGTAGTCTAAGAAAGCACCCCTGGTTTTCTGGTACATTAGCTTTGGCTGGCAGCTAAAATCCCACCCAGATGTTAACCCTCAGAGCAGAATGGGGGAAGAAAAGAGGAAAAATAGGAAGGAAAAAACTTAAGAGTGGAGGTAAAGACAGGGAGATTGCTTACCAGTTACTGTCATGGGCAAAGCAGAGTTGACTCAGATTAAGAACTGCAAGGAATGTCTGTTCTGCCATGGAACTGCTCTTCCTCTGAGCTTGATGTTCCCTCTGCTGTTTGTAACTCACTCCCTTCTCTTCTCTCTAGCTGGTATTTTCTGCCCTTTCTCATATATATTTTCATTTCTTGGATATTTCTTCATAGATATGCCACCATCTTGACTGCTGGGCTCAGCTTTAGCTGGCATTTGGATGTACTGTGGAACTGATTGGAACCATCTGGGCCTAGCACAGGGCAGCCCCATGCTTCTTCCCACAGAAGCTGCCCCTGGAGTCTCCCATGACCAAAACCTTGCTGTGTACACCAAGCACTGGTTTCCAAGTCAAGCTGGGTAGGGAAGGCAAACCAGTCCGTATTATGCATCTTGAAATCTTTTTGCTGATTCTCAAGAATTCTCTGCTCAAATTTCTTTTTAAAGACATACTATCCTTATTTGAAGAGCATCACATGTTTAACATTATGCTCAAAAGTTGTAAGTATTTATGGATTCAGACCACTTTTTAAAGGAACTCATTTATTAGTATCAGGAATGTATGGGAACTGCTGAACCTCTGATTGACCACCTGAGGCGAGCACTGAGTCAGCCCTGGGAGCACAGGTGAAGGCAATTCTCCTGTGCTGCTGGAAGGGGTGGAGCCTGGCTGCACCTCTCCTAGACCCATTTAAGAGCTGACTATGATGGGGGGAAGGTTCTCTTTTGGAGATCATTCCTCTTGGAGTCTTCTCAGCAAGCCTAGGATAAAAGTAAGCTTTCTACCCATTCTTCTTTTGTGCAATAACCTGTTTAGTCAAACTCTCTTGTTTATTTCATAATTATAACATCTGTATATTCCTTGATTATACAGAGGCTAAGTTAAAAAATTTCTAAGTTAGAGGACTTCCCCCCCCCCTTTTTTTTTTTTTTTTTTTTTTATCTTGACATACAAGATTCTTTAACTTGCTGAATTGTTTCTGCTTATATCTCCTTCATGTGACTTCCACTTCTGTCAGAGATACACTCCATGGTTTTTATTGCAGGCAGATGGTAAGATTTGTGTGGAAATCATAGGCAATTTTTATTGAGCTGTTAATTACTGACATTTGCGTTATTAGGCATGGTAATCTTTTCTTATTTCTGCAACAGTTACCCTTCTTCTGGAGAGAGAAGGGATGCGTATTAGTCTGTGACTTTCTTGTTTTCTTCTTCAATTCAAATTGTGTTAGATAACAACGAGGAGGAGGCTGTTCAAATGCTCTTTCAATGGTATTAAAGTAATTTTGTCAGGCTTGGGAAAACGCAGTGTCATTTTGTTGTAGTACCTCTGCTCTTCTGTGCCCTGTAGCTTAGTGTGCATTGTCCTAACCTGAACTGTCAAGTAAAAGTTTGATGTAGCTTCTTCTAAAGTGGTGGGAGAGAATTGCCATTAATACAGTCACTACTGGTTCTCATGGGCAGAATCTAGGAAAGCTGTGAATATTAAGTGCAAAGACTGACTATCTTTTACTTAATGCTCTGTTTTAGTTGGGATAGAAATATGCTTCCAAAGATCAGGCAGATCCTCCAGAGTATTATAAGTACTGTCTGTCAGCATAATACAATTATGTTTTGGAGTTCTATGGAGACTCCTAAAAATTCAGAAACACAAGGTCAAACCCTGAGTGCTTCTAGGTGTTCTCTCCCAAATCGTATTAATTCATGATGCAAGAAGTTGTCTCTATATCTGTCACATAGTAGAAAAATCAGAAGTACCACGGATCCTCAGTAGGATTAAAAAATGAAATATCAGTATTTTAGTTCCTCTGTCTCCATATTCTATCATCTTTTTGTTCATACAGCCAATACCATGGCACCTAGGTTCTTGATAAGGGAACAGCCCTATTCAGCTTCCTAAGCACCAATGCAAGATAGGTCTGTAAGAAATATGTATAGGAAGCTTTCCTTTCCTTCAGAATGAGGGATATATTTATAATCATAACTTGTTCTACCCATCCTTGCCTGAGAAACGAATACCTCTCAATGCAGATTTTTAATGTGGTAATTAAGCATTCCTGCATTTTATCTTAAGTTCATTTTGGAAGCAGTGCTGTCATCATTCCTAACCATTGCTTTTTATTAACTGTTGGGAAGCCACCCTATTGCATATTGGGAGATTAACTGTAATTAGATTTCATCTCACTAAAACACTGCTATGTAAACCACTTCACCTCCTGTTTAATTGAGAAACTGAACGTGGAGAGATTTTATGTTAACAAGGAAAGAATGAATATTTAAATTGGCCAGAACAGTATTATGGCTCTTCTGGGCCTTTTAAGTACATAGTTATTGGCATTGCCTCCTTTCCTATGCTTATGTAGTCCTTATTTTCAGGTTGCCTGAAGCTTGAGAAATGCTCTGGAGTTATAAATAATACACTGGTAGCGAAGTTGAGATGTCAGGTGTTCAAAACAAGCCCATCAGCATATGTACATTGTGAACAAATAGCACTGTGTGTTTCTGCCTGCGTGTCTGGTCCGTTTTGAATCTGTGGAAAACATCCATTTCTTACGCTAAGCATATTTGTGGCAGAGCTTTTTCCCATTGCAGGGGTGGAGTTGTAGGATCCAGCTCCTTTGGTGGCAGCGTTGTTGTTTATAGATTTCAAAGTGTGATCTGTGGAGCTCCATCCTAGGTTTCTTTAAGGAGTTTGCAAAAGGAAGCCTTAAATCAATGACCTTAGATTGACTGTGGAAACCTCTTGAAGTACCTCTTCACTGGAAAACTCTTTGAGGTATAAACTTGAAAAGGAGGGAAAACAAGTATTTTGTTGCAGTGTTTATACTGTTGCTTTTCTGCAGGGTCATCTACTGTGAGCAAGGAGCTGCCCCAGTCCTGCCTGCTAGCAAATAGTTTACGCATTGACTCATAGAACTGTAAGGATGCTACAGTGTATTTTACCTTTTAGATGCTGTTTGTTTTGAATATCTGCCCCTAAAGCTGATAAAATCTAGATCTCCTAGGGTAACAATGCTGCAGACTGACAGCTACTTTTGTACATACACCATTAATATTAAATAGTCCTAAATTTCTTGCAGTTCAGCTGTGTTGCAGGGGTACCAACTGCTATACCTGAAGCAGAAGGGAAGAAAACAGGGGCAATAATTGTGGAGCACTTCAGTTCTAGAGAAACACAACCAGTGTTCTAAATCCTTAACTCTTATTCTGTGATTGTGGTGGAGGGAAGAGAAAATTGCCTGTACCTTAAGAAGCACATACCAAATTCTAATGAGTGGGAGCATTCTTGATGCTTAGCTACCTGGTTAATTTAGGCAACTTGCCTCTGGTAATACGGTTAAGCATTTCTTGCTGTGAGTTTTCACATTCTTTTGTTGGAGTTGCTTGGATTCTGACTGGGCTGAATCACTGATAGAAGACTGGGGCTATGAGAGGAGACAGTCTGTGGATTTTCCTGTTAAGGTTTCCATCTATGTGAGGTGAAGAGCTGGCAGAGCACACTTAGAGTGATCTGTTAGGCTTGTGTCTTTTATGTCACATTCTCTCAGGAAGCCAGAAGGATGACTATTAACTAGAAAGCTCTAGACATGTTTTAAATCTCACTTTTCTACGAAAAATTAACAGAAGAGCTGTGGTAAATAAATAAAAATACATTGCTGTGCTCTCTCTAGAGATCAGGTTGCTTTGATTGTTTGAAGCTTGATTGTATGTCTGGATATGATAAAGGAGATAGATTTGAGGATTCTGTCTAGCAGTGGCTGAGATGAGAATGTCCCTACAGATTTGGGATGATGGGAGGAAGGTTGCTTGCAGGTTGGGAATATTTTTGTAAGATCTGCTTTCATATTATCTCTTTTGGCATGTTTTACTTGAAATCTGTCACTTAAAATTTTTTGAAATATACAAGCCTCAAGTTGAGCGCTTAAGCTAAGTATTTCACTGTAAGCATGTGTAAGCCTCCATTAAAGTGCATAGAGCTAACTTTATGCTGAAATGTTTTGCTGGGTCAAGTCCCTAGGTAGTTCAATATAAATAAATATGCATCTTGAAATGAGCATTGTTCCCAGCTTTGGTGAAAGTATTTTTGCTTTCTATATGTATGTAAATCTTAGTATAAATCTCCATTGAATGCAGTTTTGATACAAATCTGCTCTTCAGCAAACCAGATACAGGAAGTGTACCACAAATATTCCTCCCTCTCTTCCCCCCTTTCCCTAATTGCATTTATCAGTGTATGATTGCTATATATTTGTGCTACTATTTTATTAAGAATTTATAAAATACAGTGCAGAAGATACTTCTCTTTTCAACAGCCTAAGGGCTGGATCTGTGCACTGTTCCATGCTGTTATATAAGGGAAGAAACAGTGCAAGACATCACCTGCCTTCCTACTCCAACCCAGCATAATGCCAGTCATTGTGCTAAGAAACTCTATTATCACTCTGTGAATAGGATTAAGCCACTGTTCTCAGTGAGAGTTATTCATAGTTTTGAAAGAATCAGCCCACAGAAGTGGATATCAGATTCTTATTTTTGGTGATGGGGGTGTATCTTGAGTGTGAGGAACCCAAAGTTCCTCAAAGCCTAGCTGGCTGTGCTCTGGAGTAACTAGTAGGGGTAACCTGTACATAGCCTGGTTGCTCTGTCTGGTCTATAGGAAAGACTATGTAGTTCCACAATGTGGCTTATCTATTCCTTATGGGAAGCAGAAAGCAATTGCTGGGACTGTAAGGGGTGAGTAGTGGGGTCATGCACTGCATTAGCTGCCAGTGTTTCTCAGGAAGGATTTGCATTTGGGCTCTCAAGAGCACCTTACTCTGCACACCTTGTTGAAGCTGGTGTCAGTAACTGAGGCCCAATCTTCATTCATTTTCTTTCTTTTGTAGGTGCCCTGCATTCAGCCCAGAACAGCTTTCTTGTAGGGTAAAGGTGCAACTCAAGGTGACAATTAATTTTAGGCATTTCAATAATTATCCCAAGTTAGTCTGGGAAAAATCCAGGTTGCTTCAGGAATTCTCACTGGTATGATGAATCATTTATTGCTCTCACTTGATCTGTAGATTCACAGCTCAAATTGGGTTGTGACTTCACTATTTCACTTTGCTCTGGGCATACAGCAAGTTGTATTGGACCACAGTCAAATGTAAACACATCAGAAAGTATAATATTTAAAGCATGATACAGTGGTTGTGAAATGGTGCTTAAATTCTAAATCATTGATTTGCTTTTATTACAGTTTTAGAATCTTTAGTGAATCTCTCAGATTTCTTAACCTTAACATCTTCCAGAAGGTTAAGAGTTTTTGTAAGATGCTGTGTTTGTCAAGAAATGAGTTTTATTGTGTATATATATATTTAAGAAGTCATTGATTATCTTCATATAGTGTATGAATCATAGAATTTACAGATAGGAGAAAGCTATTGGATTACATAGTTGATCTTCTCACCACTGCAAACTGGTTATCTACCATAAATTTTTCCAGTGCTTTATGAACTGGTGTTAAATATCTTTGCAAATAACAGAATTTTGACTAATTCCCTGGGGAAGCACTCAACACATTATTCAAAACTATCACATGATATTTTACTTTATATTTATCATGCATACATGTATAGATGGACGTGTGTAGATATATTCTAAAGGATAACATTTTATCTGATCTTTTCTGGGGTAGGTGGATAGAAAAATTGAAAGTATTTTCCAGTGCCATATGTACCCAAGCTCCCTAGCAAATGTAAAGGCTTTGCAATTCTCATACATATTTCTCTGTAGGAAGAGGCCCTCCTAATGAGAGAGAGAGAGAGCATGAGAGGATATACTGTTGAAAAAATTATTTCAAATACACCCTGATTAAGAAACAAACAAAAAAGCCACAAAAAGGTTCTCATCTTCCCGTGACCTCTCATCACAGCTATTTCATACACTGATAATTGCAGTAACAGGTAAACAAAAGAGTAAAAAAATTTGTAAATGATACCTCTTTATTTTAAATTAATTCCTATTTCTCTTTGCTGCTGTCATTAATAATTCTTGCAGCCAGCCACTGTGGATCTTTATAGCAATTCCTTCTGAACTAACAATGTTATCATTGAAACAAACTGCACAGTTCTTGTTCTTTTAATCTTGTTACATACTACAGATCAAGTAAAAAATACCATTATAGAAACATAAAATAACTAATGCTCACTTTCATTTTGTTTCAATCTAATGAATCTGTTACTGTGCTTGTTGGAAGATGCAACAGAAGCAATTTATTATGCTTTAAAGTACATTGTAGCACATCTATTTGCTCATGAATACAATTATTTACCATTTCTTTGAGTCACCTTAGGTAATAATGATGGCTAACAGTGTAAGAGGGCACAGTGAGAGGATAATTAATAGTAATCTCAGAGACAAACACTGATCAGTTTAAATAAGGTCAAAACATTATTTGATAAAGCATTTAGATAAAACTAAAGCTAGTATTAGCTTTAATTTCAAAATAACAAGTGTACATAATATTTTAAGTATACTTTAATTCACTTTCTGAGTAGTTAGAATGTTGACTAATAAGGGACTTTCAGTATTTCTTTGCCATCCTCAAGTTCCTTAATTGTAACTTAAAGAAGTAACATGATTGTCTACATGGCTATTGATCTGTTTACGTCCTAACAAAAGGATTTTGGACTTCATCCCTTAATTACACAGTGTGTTCCTGATGTTTTTCCTCTATAATGATAAAGGCCTCAAGAAGGAGGAAGAGAGTTGCTCTCTTTCCTTCCCAAAAGCATTGTTTGGACTTATGCCCACCTTAGAATGCCAGTAAGTGCTTGGAGACTTGAAATAAGTTGGATGTTTCATAAAAATTATAGAATGGTTTGGGTTGGAAGGGACCTTTAAGACCATCTAGTTCCAATCCCAAAGGCCTCATTGCAGACTTTCAGTACTTTAAGGGAGCTTAGAAGTGGGATAGAGACCCTGCTATAGGCAGGGACACCTCCCTCTAGACCAGGTTGCTCAAATCCCCATCCAGCCTGGCCTTGAATGCTTCCAGGGAGGAGGGGGCATCCACAACCTCACTGGGCAATCTGTTCCAGCGTCTCACCACCCTCACAGTAAAGAGTTTCTTCCTAATATCTAGTCTAAATCTATCCTCTTCCAGTTAATAGCCATTTCCTCTCATCCTGATGCTATATGCCATCACAAAAATACCCTCCCCAGCTTTCCTGTGGAGCTACTTAATGTGCTGGAAGGCCAACCCTTGAGATTTGTCTACATTCTGTCCTAGTAAGGATGTTGGTTTTGTACTATAGGGTGCCTATGTGGATTTTTTTGCTTAATGAAAGTAAAAATGTATCCATAAGTAGTGCTTCCTATGGTAGGAACTTTTTCTGATTTTTACTTGTTAAGTTGCAGATTAAAATATGCAAATGAACAAATTTGTTGCCCAGGAAGTGAAAAATAGAAGTCCTCAAAATTTGTATGGGATTTTTGAGAAGAATCTCTTAGACTGAAGTCAGTTTCTTATGAGAGATCTTCCCACCAAAGCTTCAAATGACAGAAAATGTCATCTGTTTCCCTAGCTGGTAGTTTTATACTAAATTTTCATTAATCAGGCATGTCTAAATGGTAATTTCCAGAAAGTAAAATCTTATTTCCTTTAAGAATTAGTCTTTGTCTTTCTCCTGCTCTTTTCTTAAGCATTATTTAATTTTAAAGCTGATGAATATCTATTGTCATCTCTCATATTGTATGCCTACACTGCAATCTAACAATGTCGTGAGCTGTCTTTAAAACAGCTAGCCTAGGTGTCAGGCATAGTGCATCCAGCTAGGGGTCTGAAGCTCCATTTAGGCTTTAATAGTCTTTAGAGACTCATCCTGTTTTGGGATATACTTCTGAGTCCCCAAGCAAGTGAGTTAAAAGTCAGCTTATGTACATACAGGCTACACTGCCAAGTGGCATTTTAGAGTATTCCTCATTCTTGGTTTTAGGGTCCTTTCCAACCCAAACCATTCTGTAATTCTGTGATCTCATCCAATGTTGATCAAGGCAAAAACAAATGTCAAGTATGAGATGGGCTTTTGAATAAAGGTCTACTATAGATACAGATAGAAAAGGACAACACTTTCTTTTCTGAGCTTCAGTGTATTCTTTCAAAATCTATGAATTATCTACAGAATGATTTTGACTAATGTCTCTATCCTCCAATCCAAATCCTTTGCAGTGCATCTTAATAATATCATAATATTCCAATATTTTTGTAATAAAAGCTTTAAACATTGACTTTCATGGAGGAGAACTCTGTTCTCTTTTTAGTTTTCAAATGTGATTTGTAGTCAAAAGAGAGTTACTTAGCAAAGACAAGTTTAACTGCACAAACTCTTCTTGAAGGATAAAAAGTATTGAGGAGAAATTGTTTTCATTCTTATAGCAAAAGACCTTGATTTTTGAAAAGCCATATAAAAATGTCTCATTTGAAGAGTTCACACTTTTGACTAGCCTAAGAAAGCTTCAGAATTATTACTAAGTAGAATTTTTTTACTATAGGTTTGTATTGAATGCATTGCAACTACTACAAATACTTGAACAGCAGTAGCAAAAAACTTCTTTTTAACATTTTGCCACACTTAACAGCACTTTTTAGACATTTGGCAGAACTGTGCCCTTGGGAAGTGAAGGAAAAGGCGGAGAGGCTTGCCTATGTTCAGACATGATACTCAGGCATGTAAACCTGCAGAGATGAGATCTCTGAGCCTGTTTAATGATTTTTTTACTGCTGAAAGGAAGATCTTAGCTTCTGCTCTCCCCTACTTCCTGTTCTGTCCTCCCTTCTACTTCCATGGTCTAACTTCTTTTACAGGTGCTGGTGCTTGTTCTGCCACTCATGAGCTGATTCAGCTCATTAAGACAGCAGAAAGCAGGGTTGGGCTGTGGATATTTTGTTTGCATTTGTTTGTTTGGCTGGACCAGGCAGACTTTTGCTATTATATTCATATTGTACTTGTCATGGAGTTACCTAGACATACATATAACTAAAAGATAGTCATTGTTTTGGAAAACATAGGATATTTTAGGAAGTCAGAAGAATTTTGTTGTGTTCAAGCTATTACTAGCTCAGGGCTCAGTACAAAAGTAAATAAAAAATATATAATTTCCAGTGGAAAATAAAATCAGGATATTCTGATATATTCTGATAGGCAAAAACATACCAGAATCTCAGAACCGTATGTACTGAAGTTCTGCAACACTTGTCACTCCAGAATAACAGAGAAGCAAGTCTTTTCATTCAAAGCTCTGCTTGGTGTTTATGATTTCACAGGCACTGGGTAAGTCAAGGTTAAATTGGCTTCAAGTTTAAAAGTGACATGCTTTCTCCTCCTTAACCTCTCTGCTTTTAGCCTTGTTTTTTTCAGAGATACTGCTTTCTCTACCTTGATAAATGCAACCTCTTCCCTTTTCTGTTTTCCTGTTGTCAGTTTTTCCTCTGTTCTTAAATAGGCAAGTTATATTTCCTTCTAAGTGAAAATGGCAATAGGTATAACATCAGGAATTATTAATCAAAATGCGGGCATTTTAAATTCATATTGGAGAATAGTAAAAGTGATAAGCTGAGCTCCACTGTAACTCTATCAGAACTTTAGCTTTCCTATTCACTTAGCAGTTCTAATAGCATTAATATTATTTCAGGTTGTAGTTAATGATGCTTATGAAAAAACATTGTTTCCTGGTACCAGGTTTCTTTTTTTTAAATTCATTCAAGTAAGAAGGATGCACACTATCAATCTTGATTTTTTTGAACTTGATCATTACTGAATCAACATGTACTCTATTTTTGCAGCTGTATGAAGATATCAGTAAAATATCTGAGAATAGTAAGTCTCCCCAGAGGCCGTAATTAGACATAACATCCTAGTAGGTGTGTTCAAATATTAAGAATATTGCTTAGCAGTGTAGTCTTTCCTGTGTGGAAACAGGATATTGAGAATCCATAAAGCAGAAAGATAAGTAATGCCATTTGTCTCCTTGCTTTTCTAGTAGCATGCAAGAAATAGACTGGGTAGAAGTTGACAACCATGGATTATATAAATTAGAGAAAAAAGGAGAGTTATCAGTTTTTTGTTCTTTTTTGCCTCCAGCAGTTGAACTTGGGATGAAAAAAAAAAAAATTGAACTTATTTATCAATGTGTCAATAAGTTGCATGTCTTCCTTCATACCTTAACCTTGGCCTGAATGTCATCCAAAATGATCAGTTTTCTAAAATCTGTGGTATAAGACTAGCTGTGCAACAGTTCCAGACCAAGCAGTTGTCAATGTGAAAAGTACAGAACAAACTTCACTTAGGCTCTGTCACAATGCAGAGCTTTAAGAGAGCCTGTTCCTAAACTGTGTCCTTCAGCATGAAGATCCAGAGTCAGCATGATCACTTACTGTTGCCTTTGCAGATGAACAAGCTGTTTTGCAACTGTTTTTAAAAATGTTTTGCTGCCATTAACTTAGCATTCACTTTTTTTTTGTTGGGATTTTCTAATTTCAGAACTTGAGGTTTATCTACACAGTTCAATTCATGAAAATTAATGTGAGTCAACGAAAGATACGGCTTAGAAATAGATCAGTTAAACATCATTAAAACCCCCAAGGGCCTTCTTATCCAGAATTCAAGTGGTCCTAATTTAATTTAATTTACTTCTACACTGAAGTTAGATCATTCAAATGTAATTCTAAAGGAGAACATGCACATTAGGGTTTAATGCAGTTTTACAGCTTCTCTTTAAAGTAACATTTTTAGTTAATTCACTTCCTGATTGTCTCCATATAAATAAATCCCTAATCCCACAAGTGTTTTCAGTTCTGGCTAATCCTTGACACTTCTTAATAAGGGACTGCATAATCCAGATAGCGTCTCTACCAATTGCTGAGCTGGAAAATATCCAATTTCCAGAGTCTGCTGCATCTGTTAGGGCTTTGTCCCTGACTGTTCAGGTTTACCAGCAAACTATAGGGCAATTGTAAGACAGGCTAAGATCCATAGGTTTTTGTTTCTCAAATCAATTAGCTGATACTAATACAATCAGACTCTCATCTATTAACTGAGCTGAAAAGCTTTTAAGCTGATCTGCAGGGGATATCTTTAGCATCTTCATCCAAACATTCCCTTGGGGTAAACCATTTTCAGCTGAATGTCATGCGTGAGAGGATGCTTGAACCCTGCTATAATGATGAGGTATAATTATTGGATGCAGAACTTGAGAAGTCTACATAGGGGAGGAGATTTAAATTCCATAACAGATTTCTTAGATGTCAGTGAGTAAAGTCTGCCTAGAGGAGGTATTGGATGTGTGTATATCTCAGCAGGCAGCTCAGTACCTCGTATTTAGGTAACTTTAGGTGCTTCAAGTGGATTCTGCTATTATTTATTTCTGCAAGGGATCCTATTGCTGATGGGAAAGGTTACTATTTGAGCTGTGGTAGTAAAACAAATATAAACTGTTACACATTTGTTTCCTTTGCTTTTAAGGGGAACCATGAAGTAAAGACACTGCAATGAAGTACAGATGCAGGTTGTGATGACACCATGGAAGTGCAGTGGCCCTTGTGGTATGTAGAGATGTGAATTTAGCCTTGTGACAAAACTGAGTGACCCTGTCATATGTGGGTACTTAGTCATTTGAATTTAGGAGTCAGAAGTAATGAAGTGTGTTGAAACACATCTTTTTTTTTTTTTTAATAGTATAAAAGTGGCCACGGAAACTGAGCTGTTAACCATGCTAGCCTTATGAGCTGTAAGGGTCAAAACAAACTTTTAAGCTCAATTGCTTCAATTGCCATCACTATATTGATCAGATACTCACCAGCTACAGTGGGAGTGAGGACGCATGTCTCACTATGTTAAGCTAATCTAGAGGTAAGTCCCATTGTAATGACTTTTTACTGAACATCAAATATTTTTTCTTTATATCTGTATACAGACTTAAAACTTGGTATGGTAAATCCAACATTTGACTTTGGAAACCTACAGGAAAGAGCAACTTGAATTATACATCTGGGTTAGAATACTCTGAGAAATTTTGGTGGTCTAGCTTTGCTCCTGCTGACTTCATGCAAGTGGTTATTCATGATCATTTCACTAAAATTTTAAGGAGAAGCAGGTGTTTCTGTAGTGACATATGGTTGTCAGAAAACCATGAAGCCAGTATAAGCTCCAAGTTGTGGCTACTGGCAAGTTCAATAGAAATATATGCTTGCAGCTAAGCCAGAAGACAGGTTTACTGCGACATGACCTGGCAGTGTGCAGGACTACAGCCACATATCCTCCTGAAACAGGAGTACAGGCATCTTTGGGGAGGGCAAGGGAAAGACTTTTGAAAGGCTGCTGCTAATTATATTTCCTATATTAGATTTCTCATGAAAGAAAACAATACCAGTGGTTAGCTACCTACTACCCTTGTTCTGAATGTACAGAAGTGTTATGGTATCATTATCACTTCTTCCTTCACGTTTTCCAAAGAGTTTTCTTATCTGTGTATTATATGTAGGTCACTCTCAAAGTAATGCCTCCTGTTTATTTCTGTGGAAACTACAGCAGATGCAAGGAACACAATAACACTATTTGATGGAGCAAATTATCATTTACAAAATGCTATTTTTCAACATTGTCATTATCATTAGCTATGCATTTTCACCAGTGATGAACAAGAGCATGAATGCCACACTTGTAAAAAATCTGCACCAGTAGAAAGTGACCTGCTGCCTCACAGCTGCTATGACAGCGTTGTTGGAGGAGAACATTGCCCATGCAGTCCAACTTTCACTGTGCTCACATCCATTGTTTGGTCTCCATAAACATTCACAAGTGTTGATGAATGTCAGTGGGTTCCATTTCTTCCATATGGAGGAATTCAATTCCACACCTCTGCTTCATCTGCACTTTCCTTAGAGATGCCATTCTGTCAGACTGCCCCTTTGCTGCCATCTGTCACACACCAACAACATGCAGTGGAATATTGGTGGGAAGGTTTAACCTCTACTGCTGTACTACCAATGCCTGCCTCTGACAGAGGGGGCCAAGATCATAAAATGAGATTACTTTCAGAGCATCCCTTGTAAGAGGCCCCCAACCTTTACCTTCTGAGCTCTGATAATTCATAGCCTGGGGCGGTTTGGTTGGAGAATGAGAAGCCATTGAATAAATAAAATGCTGAAATTTCACTCTCCATGGGGATTACGACTTTCATTAGCCTCAGTGAAAACCACATTTCACTAAATTTAGAGCTGCAGCAGAGCTCAATACAGATAATGTATTTAATGTATGCCCTGGGCAGTGAAGTTGAAACTATTTTCAACTAATTTTCCTCAGTGTAAGTTTCCTGATAACTTAGGATTTTTTTTCTCAGAACAGCGAGTGATACTTTTCCACAGCAGCCAACATCTTCCATGACAAATCTGTATCATCACTTTATCCTGCCATGTTTTCTCCCTGCCTGGTAATATAGTGTCACAGTATGATAGTGCATGCAAAGATATGATTTTTCCAAGTCATGTTGAATACTGTTAAAAAATGTAGAGACTTTTCATTTTTTTCCACATGCATCTTAACTTTACCAAACTAAGAACAGTTTGGGTTTGATGGGAAGGGAATAAAATCAGATATATTCTCCTTAGAAAAATGAAAATGTTTAGGTGTTGTGTATTTACAGAAGGCAACAGAAGTGTACAAATAAGACATGAACTGAGGATTCAAAACACAAAACAATTTTTAAAATTAGAAAAAGTTTGCTTTCTTCATAGTATTGTTAACTGCGGAAGTATGACACTGCATTACTCTGTATTGTGGGTATGGAGTAGGTACTTTTGACATCCATGTATTCAAATTTCTGTTCTGAATTTTGACTATTAAGTCAAAATTTTGATGTTTAAGCTCAACTGTGTAATTTATGTTTTTCAATAGCTAAGGTGATGTGACTTCATGGTCCGTGGCCAGGACTTGTTGATGTTAATGGCCAAGCAATTGTGAAAGTAAATATATGCTTATTTGAATGCTTATTTCTGCTCTGGAAAAATTTATTTTTAGCAATGTGTTTTAGGCTTCTTCCTGCTTAAATATGCAGTTTTTGTCAGATAAGCTTTTTCTTATATATTTTATTCAGTTTCTTGATGTGGTAGCATATTTAAGAATTTGATTAGGAATAGACTTGATTCTTAAATACAGAAGAGTTTGTGTTATTACAAAGAGGATGGTGAAATTTCCTATCAGCACAAGATGGCCACTTTATCTATCTTTATTCTAATTTAGAACAACTGTAAATGATTGCACAGGAACAAGGCATACATATCTGGCATCTGGCCGGATACATTTTTTAATCTGGTGATAGGATTGGTAACTAGTGATAGAATTAGAATCTGATGAGTATATTGCTGTTTTTATTGTTATTTGCTACATTGTACATGGCTAGATAGTAACTAAGAACTTCAAGCCTCTTGCACACTATTTTTCTGAAAGTACTATTTGATAGAAAGATTTCTAGCAAAATCATGTGTTTCTTAACAGGGACTTGTGCCTCTTTCTATTGATAGAAATGCAAATTGCAATTCTTCCCACATTACTGAACAAGTGGGAATAATGCACGGAATGGAGTTTTACTTTGGAAAAGATGAACCAATCCACTGTATCTTCCTTTCTTGTAATTGATTTTCCAAAGCTCAAAAGTGGCTAGAATTACAGATCTTAGGAAAAAATGTTTTTGTCATTGTTTTTCATTAAGTAGTGTGATTATCTGGGCATTGTAATGCTAAGATCATCCCTACTACCTCCTTCAGCTTTTTTTTTGGGGGGGGGGGGGGGTGAGGAAATAATAATCAAGAAATTCAATTATACTAGAAAAGTTCCTGCAAACATATTGTCATAGAAACTACATATGGAAGTGTATGGTCAAGTAAGGAATTAGATGATACAGATAAGCACTAACAGTTCCTTTTTCATAAATTCTGTTATTTATGGTTCATAGGAATTTTGCTCCAAATAACCGATAACTGGGATGCTACATTCATTTAAAATTCTGCTTGAATTTATACAGGGGAATTTTAATGTCATGGAGTCTGACTCTAGGGATGATGAATGGTTCTCTAGAAAAAGTAGATCTTCTGGGCTGACAGATGCAGTCACTGTTTCCATGAGGCTTAACCACTGAAGAGTGCAGTCTCACTGTTGGGAATAGTTTGTCTTTGAAAGTTTATTAAAGGTGTAGATTTAGTGGTTGAAACAATGTTTTTACATAACTGCTGGAACTAAACCTGTGCAGAGCTTCATGTGATGGATTATAGATTCCATTAGTGATGGATACAAAGTGAAGTTTTTGCTTAAAGGATTTTGGAAGAGTAACACTCTCTACTGTACAGTTCACTAAAACAGTTTCTTGCATTCCTTGATCTCTCCAGAAGGATGATGACACACAGGGAAGAAATTTACCTGCCTAAATAAAGAAGTATATCTCAACACTTTCATCTAGATAGGAGCTAAGTAGAGCATTTTCTCAAGCGAATTCAGGAAAAGCAAATCCCAGTATGTAGTGCAGAGAATTGTTGTCTACTAAATTTCCTACTAGCTTCAATTAATTTCTTCTTTATTTAGTCCCTAGATAGAAGTGAAATGTTACTCATTCTGCAACGGCTGTCACATTCTTCTCAAGGACTAACTTTGTAGTGAAGTAGAGTGCTGTCATATTTCTGGTCTACCTCTCAAAGTAGCTGACAGTATTCATAATGTTAATGAACCACCTTCCCCACTGAATCTCAGCCCTCCCAAGTTTGTGCACTTTTCCATATTCTGTTCTATCAAACTCTACTTCTTCCAAGTTTTTCCTGGCCCAATTTTCCCTCACCATTTCCTTCTACTCAGACTGCTTACCTTTATCTCATTTCATAATTCTATATGACACACAGCTTCCTCCAAGTATGAATTTGTAAGGATGAAGATGTAAGAGATACGTGTCTTTAGCAATGACAGAAAGTGCCCACTTTCTTTCTCTTCTGGTGTTTCATCAGTCATCTCCATTTGATAATGTTTTGGTTTTGAATTCCCTGGCTGAGAGGAACCATAGAACACTTTGTACTTAAAGTGCTGGGAGATCCAGGTACGTGCAAAGCTCTTTAGAAGGAGCCAAGTGTTATTAGTATTAGTAGAAATAATTTAATTGTTCTTTTTCAAAAATAGCACTCATTCTTTTTTTGTAATGCACTTTGTTGTGCCTCGAAGGAAAGAGCCAGTACCTTCTTTCTTAGGAAGACAACTTAAAGAGTTGTTTTCAGTTTTTCTTCACCAAATGGAGCTGACTATAAAATAGTATATTTTCTCTCTGTAATAGATATATTTTCTATTTTTAGTCCATCACAGCAGAGCCTATTACTTGGTGTGACACTGCTAATATTGTGGCACTTTTGCTCCACTGATCCCCTGAGACAGATACCTCTTGTTTACAGTATTAACTTGAATAAAGGAGAGGCTCCTT